CTCAAAACCCATTTATAAACACACCCAAAAAGTTGACTTTGGGGTTGATTTTGGGTGTGTTTCTATGTTTAAATAGTGCTTGGGTTTTTTTTATAAATACATGTCTAGGATTGGGTTTATTTATAAATTTGTATAATTTAAAGTGGTTTAAACTATAGCTTGTATTTGTTTATTTTTTTTTATTAAAAAAAACCTTTTAAATATTTAGTGACACTTTTTTTTTTCATCATAGACACATTATTTATTTATTTATTTATTTTTATACAAGCAACAGTGAAACATTATTCAATTAACTCCTTTTACTTTTAATAATTCTTTGCTTGCTCACCATATTAGGTTCTTGAGCAAGGCTGCTGTAATTTTGGACAATGATCTAAAGCCAGATGGTTCTCCGATCGATCAGTGGAGGCTCTGCAGCGTCCAACAAGTAGAAGAACTTAAATGCGTAATAAAAACAATCCCAGTGTGGGCTTCAGCCATCGTCAGCCTCACCTCCATGACACAGCAAGGAACATTTACTGTCTCCCAAGCCCTCAAAATGGACCGCCACCTCGGTCCTCACTTCGAAATCCCAGCTGGCTCCCTCGGCGTCATCTCCCTTCTCACCATTGGCCTCTGGCTCCCGGCCTACGACAGGCTTCTCGTGCCAGCCCTCAGAAAATTCACAAAGCACGAAGGAGGGATCACAGTTTTGCAGAGATGTGGGATTGGGATCATATTTTCAGTCATGTCCATGTTGGTGGCAGGGATCATTGAAAGAGAGAGGAGGTCTTTTGCTCTTCTGCACCCTAATGAACACGTGTCATTCGCTTGGTTGGTCCCACAGCTGGTCCTGATGGGCCTTTGTGAGGCGTTCAATATTATAGCGTTGATTGAGTTTTTCAACAGGGAGTTCCCTGACCACTTGCGAAGTGTCGGAAATGCCCTTCTGTCTTGCGCCTTTGCTGGTTCGAGCTACTTGAGCAGCCTGGTGGTGAATATTGTGCATCATGTGACTGGAAGAAACAAGCGGCCGGATTGGCTGACTAAAGATATCAATGCTGGGAGATTAGATTACTTCTACTTCCTCCTTGCAGGGATTGGGGTCCTGAATTTTTTCTACTTCGTTTATTGTGCACAGCGATATCATTACAAGGCGAAAAACGTTTACATGATAGAAGAGAAACCCTATGCTAATCAAGTGGAGCTAGCTGCAACCGATGCTTGAAGTTGGCGGCCTATATATAGAAATTCTCCTATGCAGACATCCAGACGTTATTATCATGCGAACGTCATGTATCTTATATTATCTCTCCCTATTTTTTTGCTTGTTTACAATAGCATCTGTATATAATAACGTGTGGACATCTGAATAAGAGAATAAATATATATATAGGTTAATTAAAATAAGATTGCCTTATTAGAATATAGGTTAATTAATTATAATAGTTTTATGTTGTAACTTTAATTCGGTGTGCTAGATATATATGTCGTATAAATGTATAAGAATTGCAAGAATAAGAGCATGCATCCTCTTTATGTCTCCATGTATTAATGTTGTAACACAAGAATATGGTTTGCGTTGGAAATCAAAGTCGCGATGGAAATTATTGTAACTATTATTCTCCACCTCAAGCTTTCTTTTTTATTTGTAGCTTTGTCTTGTTGCACCATAACAACAAGAAAAAACCTTAATAAATAACATCAGTGGCACAGCTTGCGGTGGCTAAAAACAAAGTTAGTATCTAACAAAAAATAACCGTGATTATGATCTATTAATTAGGTACTAATAATGTCTTTAGCCATCTCATCACGTGCCATTGATGTTGATGTTTTTCTTGTATTGTTGGTTCGTGAACAGCGCGCATGCGCAGACTACTATGCCTTTTTACTGATGAAGTCATGGTGGCCATGAGTTGATGCAGCGGGAGGTTTCGTAGAATAGACGAGTGATATTTTTGTTTGGAGGCTTCTCTTTGTTGGTATGGCACATGGGAGCATATAAGGCTTAAAAGCCGCCATGGTTTACTTTTCTGCTGCCTTGCCTTCCATATATCTCATGATCTTTTTACTTGTAGCTACAGCTATACTTGCTTTATGCGCCACAGCAACTGACATACCCACATATGGTGACAAGAAACTGTGTGTCACTTGTTCAGAGAAAGCCGAAGGATTTGCAACTATCATCTTCTTGGTTCGTATGGTCTATGTCAAAAGGTCAATGGGGTCTTCTTCGGACAACAACTTGGAAGGTGTAGACGAAATTATGTGCCACAAGTATCTTCCATAATGTCACACTCTTTGTACCAAATTGTGTCATTAATTTCTCTTGTCATATATATATATATATTCAAAACATGTGTCTTGGAAAAAATAAAATAAAGATAATTTCGAAAGGTTCCTAATTTTTCGTATTTGATATAAAACAGTAATTTGTTGAATGTATCCAATCACTTGTAAATCACAGAGAACCAAGAATCCCATATTCTGAGAACTGCACCAGCCAAATCTTAGACGTACGATACTGTGTGTACAGCTTGCCCCCTTAACCTTGAGGAGGGAGTGGTCCTATATCGTGTGGACCTCCAATAAATTAAAATCGTTTAGTTTATCTGAATTGAACACACAAAAACGTCCCTATATACTTATGTAATGTGTAAGGTTCAAATTGAATATATATGTTGCTTTTACACTAGTAAAAAACAGTGGCAATAATCACCATTATTTGGTGATATTTGTGACTGTGATAAAAGTCATTAGTGGTGACTGTTGCCACTTTCTTTTGTAGTGTTAGTACCAACAAACAAAACTACGTAACTTGTGGACTTAATGTTAATAAATGGACATCGTACAGTGGTCTTATGTTTTTGAGGTCCTAAGCGAACATCTTAAATAGGGTATTCTATTCTATATCATATGTATATTTATGCGATTTTTTCTTCTTCAATAAGTTAAAAATATATATTATATGAACTCAAATTCACAATTGTAATATAAAAGAAACAATAAATATGTAATTTACACAATTACTTTTAAAAAAACGCATTAAAGCATCACTTAAATATCACTCATCTTACATTTTCGATTCAAAAGTATCAATTAACTTTACATAATCAAGTTTTTCTACCATGTCTTTTTCAATTTCCTAATTGATTCAACTAGGTTAATTAATTTAAGCTATAAGTTTAAAAAATAATTAGATCTTTATTGAGTTTTCTCTTTTTAATTTTGAATTGAGTAATTGGGCTTTTTTGTTTTTTTCTTTTTTTTTACAATGAGTGGGCTTTTATTAAGATTCCTCTTTTTAGTTTTGAATTGAATAATTAGGTTTAAAAAATTATATTTACAATAATTGATTTGGACCTAACATACTATTTATATATTACATATATTTTTAAATAATATAAGTATGTATATATAGGGTATTATACAAATTGGGGCCCCTTTTAATTTGGGACCCCAAGCGGCCGTCTTGCTTGGTTGTCCAAAGAAGATGAGGCAAGTATTTTCCTTAATAAATAATATTCTAATCGCTTGCCTGAGCTATATACTGAGTATATACACTCAATGTAAATTATATTGAACCTTGAATGTCATATGCTTTTCCAATTTCCAAATTGAAGACTGCCCTCCTTACTTGTCCTTGCCAAAACTTGGCTGGTTTGAGATATTGGTGTCTGTTTCTGTATGGAGTGAATCAATGGACTATATTCCTAATCAGAATTTGTACAATTCTCCCACTCACTTTTGGATCCTGACTAGTTTCCACCACTCCCACGGCTATCATATGTGCAATGGACAGACGAGTTCTGAACAAGGTCTTAGAAAAGGTTAGAAATCCTTTTCTAAGTCGGTCAGATTTATAGCCCACTTCGTCGGAGTTCTGGGACCATCAAAAAAATTTGTGAAGTATTGAGACCTCACACGTATATGAACATAGTGTCGCTAGCCAGGTCTAGGGATTTTTACTTGCATGAGTGAATTGAAAGGTGGTTTTAATTAGTGTAGCTGTCAAAAAGATATAAAAAGATACTCAAAATTGGCTGAGTGGAATTAGCTTTCGGCTTAGCTAGCTAGGGTTCAAATCATTTGGCAATTTGATCTCTCTTTCAAGTTTCTACCTCCATGAAATATCATGCGTGGACCAGAAAGCCTTGGCACTCAGTATGCCTAAATTAGATTATGGACGTGCATGCACGTGGAAAAAATAATATAATAACACATGGGCCGGCCATGGGTTCAAATACAAATGGTAGGAATATATGAGAGGCTGGATCGATTAGGTAGGTCTGCCTGCCTGCTCTTATTGATGATCTGTAGTTAAGCAAAAGGGTAGGCTGGGAAAGGGATGTGGTGTGCATTCAAGCCCTGGGCTCGGTGCCATGTCGAACTGGCCTAACCCAACATCTTCCTTGCTATCTTTCCCTTTGGTGGTGAAAGAAACTACTACACTACATCAAAACTATGCCATCCAAAAATGAAACTTTATTTAAAAACTAAGAATTAGATTAATTAAATATGTTGCATCACAATTTACCTTCCAATTCGTCTGGGTGGTGTAGTTGGTTATCACGCTAGTCTCACACACTAGAGGTCCCCGGTTCGAACCCGGGCTCAGACATTTTATCAGTAAACTAAAAAAGAGATGAGGAGGACAGAATTTGTCTTTTTGATTGAGCCTGAAATTTTTGCTTTCTTTTAGAGTTATGGACCTAAATTTGGTAGCAAGTTCAGTTCAAGGTCCAGGAAGAAATGGGCTAAACATTAAATTATACAACGGGCTGAGATTAATAGAACCAAAAGGGAATGGGCTTAGATCAATGCCTGATGATCGGATCCAGCAGCTGTAAACTTAGGTAAAATATTTAATAAATTTCCAACAACTGACACACAGCTCTTAATTAAATGCAATACATCATTCTTAGATCATAATTAACTTATATCATCTACTGCATGCCATGAAAGTTATTCTGAAAACGACGATGATGAAAATATATTCAAGCAGGCTTAACTTAATCATACTAAGCCTGGAAAGTGGACAGCTCCAGAAGGTACCCAACGAACCTCTCGAAATCATCATAAGACGATCCTCCTTCAACACAAGCAATCTCCGATTTCTTCTTCCACTCCACTGCCTTGTTTCTCATCACCTTCCCATTCTCCCCTTCCATCATCTCCCTCACCAGAGCCTCAACCCCTTCCCTCTTCACATCGCTATCAATCTCCAACCCTACCCCCCAAGTCGTGCTCGCGTACCTACAGTTCACTTGCTGCTCAGCAAAGAAAGGCCAGCAAAGCATCGGCACCCCTCCACAAATCCCCTCCAAAGTTGAGTTCCATCCACTATGAGTCAAAAATGCCCCCACGGACGGGTGTGCGAGCACCTTATCTTGGGGGCACCATCGGGCAATCATGCTCCGATCCCTCGTCTCCTCAAGAAACTCTTCTGGCAGAACGGTCCCGTTCGTGCCCTTCACTACGTCCGGCCGCACGATCCACAAGAAGGGATGGCCGCTGTTGGCCAGCCCCCATGCAAACTCCTTGAAGTTGTCCTCGGTCATCACAGCGATGCTGCCGAAGTTCAAGTAAATGACTGAGTTGGGCTTTTGAGTGTCGAGCCAAGTGAGGCAGTCGGTGTTCTCCTTCCACAGGCTTGGCCTCGTGCCGTTTACTTCGTTCTTGATGAGGTTGGTGTTGAGGGTGGTGAGAGGGCCGAGGTTGTAGATGTTGGGGAACATGGAGGAGACTGTCTCGAGCACTTCGGCTTCGAATTCGACGAAGGTGTTGAAGACGATTGCATCGGCTGTGAGGATGTCTTGGGCTTCTTCCAGCCACCGGTTGAAGGCAATGTCTTCGGGATCGGTGCTTCGTGCGAAGCTGGGCATGTCCTTGAGGCGCATGTGCTGCATCCCTGGGATCCACTCTAGGGCAGTGTCTTCCAGATATCCATTGCTGACGTCTTTCTCATCTGCGATTAGGGCGATGATGTTTTGTTAATCTTGGGTTAATTAGGCCATGATAACAATAAAAAGATTCAAATGCGGATGACAAAGAAAGTTATAGCTCCATGATAAATTACTTAATCCTTAATTAGGTTTACATATCTTACTTGGGAAATTTAAACTACAAGCCTTACAAGTTAATTACGAGTGATCAAACAGATTAATTAGGAATACTTTGTTTAAGATAAACTGTTTCTTTTAGGTGCTCATACTGTATAATCTTTAGGTGCAGTGCAGTCCTTTAGGCTTCGGCTGGCCTTTTCAATTTCTTTTTCTTTTCCGCTTTTGGTATGTAAATTTGATCCATATGACCATTGCTTTCAGGCAGTACGTTCATGAGTTATTTTGGAAATCCGAAACACAAAAAATTTCAACCTACCCCGTATACTATTTACTACATAAAAAAAAAGTAATTAAAAAAAACTTTAATATTCATGAAATAATGTGCATATATACCTTTTAATGGGAAGATGCTCTTTTTGACAAGTTCTCCAAATTGGAGATAGGCCACGAGACCACAAGTGGATGCAGTCCAGAACTGGACCTCAGGAATTCCAAGTTCTCGGGCCACCTTAATTGCAAAGCTCATAATTCCATCCGAAATAATGCAACTAACCTTAGGCAAACCCTCGGTGGAATTGAGCTTTACAATCAGGTCCCTCAGCGGAACCACGGAATGTTTCTTTGTGTAGTACAAAAGCTCAGTGACACTCTGAGTGGCATCTGGGTTCGAGGGTGGCACCCCATCCGGGATGGTCTCAAACTGAAAACCCGGTGAGTTCTTCACGGCCTCTGACCCTTTGGACCGGAGCAGACGGCTGTGGTTGAACTCTGTGTAAACCATGGTTATATGGAACCCTCTAGAGTGAAGAAGCTTGGCCAAGTTCATAAATGGGTTAACATGGCCTTGTGCTGGGAATGGAATGCACACGATATGAGGTGGCTCTGATGGAATAGATCCCATTATTGATCAATACCACAGCTCTGGTTATGGTTTTGAAATGGGGTTATGGGTTAAGCTTTTCTTCCAACGCCATGCTTTTATAGAGGAAAAGTACGTGCATTGAAAACCATGCTGACCAAAAAGTGGGCCTGTTTGGTGGCTCCCAGTGGACAGGAAAGTCTCATGGAGTCTCTCAGTCCTCTAGAGAAGCACTTATGCGTCGCCACCCATATTAGAGTGTTGTCCTCTTTAATAAGTCTAAGTTTTTTTCAGTAGGTTTCTTATTGATAAGGGCGATAATATATTAAATTCACACACAATTTAAATGTTAGGATTTGAATTCAAAAACCCCTGTAGAGAGAGCATTTGCTTCAAACTACTACATTAATGAATACTTTGCATTAATCTAATATAGCCTCGTTCTCCTGGACCCCTATGATCCAAGGGACTTGTGGTCAACCACTCTTGGATCTAATTTAAGAATTCAGAAAAAACTAGTTAAAAATCAAGATATTAATTTATCTTAATCAAAAACCCAAATTTAAAAAATAAATAATAGAAGTTCACTGGAACAAAAACACGTTCAGAGGAGAAAATCATGAACGTGTTCTTCCTCCCATCGCCGCCACAGTGCCTCCGATTCCGGCGTTGTAGACGACCCTTTGCAGACATGATGTTACTCGAGCCACCCATAGTCAGTTGAATGCAAAGGCATAATCTGAATATTTTTTTTCGCAGACCTGAACAGTTTTTCTAATTTGGCTCTTTCACTTTTTCGGTTTCTACAATTGAGTTTCCTCCTCTTTTACTGGTTAACATGATTCCCATGAATCTTATACCATCAGGAAGCGGTTAACATGTGAACAGGAAGCAGTCTTGGGTGGGCATCCTGCAATTACGTCATCTGAATTTATTTTTTTCGCAAACCTTCATTCATTTGTTTCTTTAATTCTAGTTTTCCCTTTGTTTATTACATATCGATCGCGTTAAATTGCCATGGGATGGGTGGATTTGGATTTTCGTCTGGGATGCTAGAGTCGGGGTTACTGTGGCGGCAATGGAAGGAAGAACCCATTCTTGATTTTTTCTACCTTGAACATGTTGTTTGAGTGAAGTGTTATTATTATTATTTTTAACTTTTAGTTTTTGGTTAAGTTAAATTAATATCTTATGCAGTAAAAGTAAAATAAAATTTATTTTTAAATAGATTTTGTAAATCCTTGGATCTAATCTAAGGGTGTGTAACCACAAGTTCCTTGGACAGGGTCCATGTGGAAATTTTCAGGTCGACGGGCCGAGGGCCCACTCCAACAACACCGATACTGTCCCCACTTAACCACTTGCACAATCCTCAGGTGTGAGATTTTATCACAAAAGGCCTCGGTATTAATTAGAGTGGGAAAAATCTATTTAAAGCACTCTTTCTCCTTCCCTATTTCCGATGTCGAGGCCTTTTGTGATAAAACCCCACACCTGAGGATTGTGCAGGTGGTTAAGTGGGAACAGTATCGGTGTTGTTGGAGTGGGCCCTCGGCCCGTCGACCTGAAAATTTCCACATGGTATCAGAGCCAGGCGCGGGCCCGTTCTGCCACGTGATTGGGTGGGTCCCCATTTGGCCCCACGCGATGGGTGAGTCCCGACATGTCTCCGCGTAGGCCCAAAGGTGCCACGTGATTGGGTGGGCCCCGATATGGCCCCGCGTGATGGGTGAGTCCCGACATGGCTCCACGTGGTTGCCGATGTGTGGATCTCCACGTGTGACCCACAACATGGGGTCTCACGTGCGGGGGAGTGTTGAAACCAATTGTGTCCCACATCGGAAAGAGGGAAGGAGAAAGAGTGCTTTAAATAGAATTTCCCCACTCTAATTAATACCGAGGCCTTTTGTGATAAAACCCCACACCTGAGGATTGTGCAGGTGGTTAAGTGGGGACAGTATCGGTGTTGTTGGAGTGGGCCCTCGGCCCGTCAACCTGAAAATTTCCACAGTCCATAAGAACGGGACTCTAGTCTAATATTTATATGTTCACCAAACATCAATTATAATATTAACTTTTTTAAACTGAAAAGTCCTAATTGAACCACCAAATCATATATGAATGTTATGTCACACTTTCAATTACTGATTTAAAAGAAATGAAAGAGAATTGTTATTAACACTAAGAAATAGTCATTATGTAATTTTATTATTCTAAGTTTGCAATCTTAGTTGGGATACCTATGCCAAAGTTTATTTAATCCTGCCTGATCGTTAGTAGAGACGCACCAGATTGCCTTAATTTTGATATTAGACTTACCATTATTGTAATGGCCCTTTTGTGGATAGTTTGTATTGATCCTTTTTGACTAGTGACTTTTTTGATTAAATTATGAATGCAATCATAGAATTTCTCAACAAAAAAAAATCAAAAAAAGAAGAAGGTACTAGGCAATAATGAATGAAAAGCGTCACAACAACTGTGGTAATCCCACATGACATTATGTATATCTTTTTCAATCAAACGAAATTCTTCCCTTCCTACAAAGACATGCAAGTGGGGAGAATGGGATTATTTTTCCCTTCCTTTCGGAATATTTACGTCCATTTTTTTGTACTGAAGACATACGAGTTTCCAGGAGCATGGGAATGTGCAAGTAGCAGAGCTGCTCAATTATTGCGTATGGTGGGTGGTGGTTAGTAGGCGTCAAAATGAGATAATGAAATGACCTTCAACCAAACATGCGATCGTACTGGGGCCCTCGTTTGTGATGTGATTCATACCCTCTCGGAGGCTTGACTGGCGATCGGAAGGCAACGGTGGCTCAAGCTTTAGAGTTCAAAGTTCAAACAACGTGCCAGTTGATCAACTTGAAATTTTAACAGATAATTTTTTTATATAATGAGATAGAATTTTGTCCCCAATAATTTCTCACCAATATTTTTTCATTTTTGATTTAGAGAACGGAAGAAAATAATTATTCATATGAAATGATTCATGGTTCCTTTTTGGCTTATTTAATATTTTTTTGGTCGCATATTTCCTTTTGGGTTTTGGCGTGAAGCAATGGCATGTAGCTACGTACCGAACAACTTAGACCAAGACCTTCGCCAGCCACAAATGACTGGCCCCAAATCACCCACTATAAATCATACATGTATGCAGTATGTATATGTACACCGCTAATGCACCAATTATTGTACTTGTTGTCGTCTAGTGACACGTTGCTGCGACAAGAAAACGAGACCCCAGATATTTGTGTACATAATTTTATGAACTCAACTCGTGCTTCTTTGTACTAGTTTTTTTTTATGAAGAAAAGTTTAAGGGGGGATCGGCTATTCTCACTACTAGTGTCGGGACATACTGATAATTTCGAATCGTAATGTCTTACTTGTGGCACCCAATTGCTAGCTGTCAGTTTTTTATTGTAATTTTAATTTGTAAGTGTCCATACATATTTTCTAAATTTGTCAATATGCGCATGTGTATTGTTGTATATATAAAAATATATTATATTTTTTCAGTTTGGGAAATTTGGGTTTTATAGATCATCCACCACGGTCCACATGGGTGATGGGCAGCCGCCAAATTGGAGTATATATTATTTGCCGACGCACTCTCTATCTCTTTGCGAGAGGCTAGGGGGCTCCATTCTAGGATTTTAGGGAGCAAACAGGAATATTGTACTGCACAACTATGGTTGTGTGTTGAGATTACTAATTCATAATAATTATGTCAACAAGGTCTAGTCCAGTAAAAAAAAAACTTGATTTGCAAACCATTAGTATTCAAATTCCCATAATACCTTTATATTTATAGTGTGTGTGAGAAACCCACATCCCCTTATGATTTAAACTATATCTTGTATGTTGCATATTCGTATTAAATTTGTGAGTTATAGCATTTAGCCACGGGGCATATATATAGCAGCAGTAAAGCCCACGCACTCCATGTGTTTTGACTCTTGAGATCAACATTAATCTCAAGGAGTACCATATATATGCTTTCACTAATTTGCATAAATATTGTCGCGTATAATAAAAGGTTTGATGTGCATATCATTACGAGCCTTTGCTATATTTTTATTTATATAAGTGATAGTTTATTTTTATTTTTTTTTAGTATAAGTAATAGTCTAAAAATTATATGGGATGAGAGTTTTTCTTACACACATACACAATCAAGATGTAATAGGAGTTCAAACTTGAGATCTCTTGTACGCAAATCAATATTATTTTTTACTATATTAAACCTCGTTAACAATAATCTAAAATACTTTAATCTACAAGGAAGGATATCGAATTCGGTGTAAAATTACTATATGGAGCAAGATAGTATCCCGCGGAAAACAACTAAGATGGTTGTGACATGCATTGCATTATTTGTGGACAAAATTATTGCTATTAGACTCCAAACTCATGTTGTATGTCAAATGGATATGTGATTTGTCATCTATACATATAAAGCAAAAGGCAGAGAATTGTGAAATATTTAAAATACCAGAAAATACCCTTGATTAATTTAAACATTAAAATTTGAAATTATTAATTAAATGAGGATAACATGGTAAGTTCACATTTTTTTCATATTAAAAAAATTAAAATTAAAAACAAAATCAGATAATTGGTCATACTTTTATCGAATATAACTACCCATGTTATCTTTTCTTAATTTAAAAAGAAAAAAGAAAAAAAAGAAAATCAATTGGCACATGGATGAGCATGTGCCAAAGGGCTAATTTCTATTAATGATGTATTTTCCAATAGCATGAGATGATGTTTCATCTTACACAGACAAAAAAACAGTTAAGCGGGACACACATGTATATTTGCATGAGAGACTTCTTTATCGATCCACAAATTATTGTGCTTGGATTCGTACATGTTACAGTGGGTTTGCATGCATGATGCATATGATATGAACTTTCACCATTTGATCGATGCAAATTATACTAGTAGGCATGTCTTGGTTTTTTCTTTTGCATGGTTTGGCAACACACCCAAAACAAAAGAAGCAACATCAGGGTCCCGAGGCTCCAG